GGAGTGGAGAAGGTGGAAGAAGTAATGCATAAAGCAACCAGCTCACGGTCATTACATAAAAGTAATTGGCCGATCTGCTAACTTACCCAAGTGCCTAATTTATTTGCTTTCTTCAAACAACACCAGCAGCTGCTAAAATGGACTAACGCAAGGGCTTGAACCGCCTATGAAATGGCAAATGCTGCGCGACAACCGAGAGACAGTAGAGTACCAAACGAAAACCAACGACGTGCGCTGTCCGGCAACTCACCACCCACGACACTGTAGGAGGCATACCAGCGTTCTTTCATCTCAGCAACTCGTTCTGCCCGCTGCAGGTGCGCATCAACGCGGAGGACAGAGTACTTGTCTTGACCTTTATCCTTTCCAAAGACGAAGAACGTCTGGCTTAGGCGTGGCCTGATGCTGAAGGGGCGAGGAGGCTTGTCCTTCACTGCAGCGCCAATCCACTGCTCCACCTGAAGCATAAGACAACTTTTATCGCAAATTAACAGGGCTGAAATTGCATACACTTACAGACATTCGTTACTTTTCCGTAGTGTTGGATAACTATCAAGCAGGCGACTACGACATTGCAGGCTCGTCAGCTGCCATTGCACCTCTTTCAGCATTGCCGGAGCGTGCACTCTCAGCTTCTCATCATCCGCAGCACCACCGGCGCCCACCCAGCGCGAAATGGCCGCAATTACCTGCTCCTCGGATTCCGCCGAGATATCATCGCTGCGGAGCAGAGTGTACACAGTTTCTGCGGGCAGGCTGACAAAGAGGTCAGTCTGAACGAAGTGCTCAAACTGCTCCTTCATCAGGCCGACACACTTCTCCGCCAGTACTTCCACATTCAGCGTCCTGGCAAAGTCCCAAGTTGCTGGCAGACTTTCTAAATTGAGGCTTTAGTGTGTGTAGGTAAGGCCAGGACGATAGTTACCCCTTGACCATGAATGTAACTCCCCAGTTCACAAGGTCAGGCAGTTGGACCATTTTGGCAAGCGTTACCATGCCTCTCGCATTACTTTGTGTCATCTCCACCTGACCCGTGTAGACATACTGAATGAATGTAGTTGCGAGGCTATAAAGTGCGCATGAATTAAGCAAAATCAGAGAACCGATGGAAAATTTACTTGAGAGGCACTGTGGGCCATCTGAGAACCGAATTCTCCTCCCCGAGTGGACCACTGAGAGCGGTTCGCAAAGAAGGAAGACGGGCCGCTAATATTATTCGATGGGCGTGGAGTACTGCGCCGCCCTTAACCTGGCAAACATACACACAAACGTCAGCAGTAAGGAAACTTACCTCTATTCGCAGATCCTTAATGTCCTGAGCAAGACGAATTTCGTTCAATGCAGGACAGCTTCGAACCAGGGGAAATTGGCCCCGGTCTTCGTCATTTCCAAAGAGGAAGAAGAACGTCTGGCTTAGGCGTGGCCTGATGTTGAAGGGGCAGGGCCGTCCATTTCAGAGACCACTAATTAATTTAGAAGGTGTGTAATCGCACGTAGCCTCCATAATTAATTAAACAACTGATCCGTCTAATGACATCATTTGTACTCCCATACATTCCCAAAAGGCATCCTATACTTCTGAATGTGATTTCATGTTCACGACCTCCATTGTGTTGACGTCCATAAACCACCTTTTTCTATATCGCATGGTATCATATCATGCAATTTGAATATCTATTAAGTCTAGACCGCATGCTCCTGCGTTTATATATGATGCAGCATTGTTCTGTGTTCATATCTCGATGATGGTTCTATCAATTTATTTTGATTATAGTTGGTGCAGCAATGCAAAGTGAGTTCCCGGAATAGTTATGCTGGAAATGGACGTCGATGAGTCACGAGCCATCAGGAGAACGGTGCTTTAGTCAAAAGTGGAGAAGGGAATGGGTTGGTGGCAGGTTAGAACGAGAGGAAAACAAAGTTGACCAGACTACTCATAAATATTATATAAGGGCCTCAAATCATGCTAAATTTATACGAGTAATGAAAGCCAATCGTTTTATTTTAAATTTAACTTTCGATAGCGGCGAGATGAGGCGATCTACTATCTTCTTTGTGCACCTATAACATCCCCTCAGTTATTTAGTCGAGACACTTTGAAGAGTGTGTGGAAAGTAATGATGGAAGCAGGTAAACCGAAGACCATTGCGTTTGTCCATTCGAGGTGGTTGTTTGCTGCTAGTCGAAAGGCAATCAAGTTGAGGGTTGAGGCACTCCTAATTTCGGCTGTCTTAATTTAACAATATCTGACCCTATCCCTATTCCCGCCCTTCTTCGTGGTTTTTCGTCTTGAATTAGATGTTGCGAGTTTACAATTACGTCCCGAATACGGTCTGCGTTTCATTTTTCCTGTCAGATGTTTAACCGCAGCATTAGGATCGGTTGCCATGCCGCCATAACCATAGTTCCCTCCAGAGGTGACAGTCTGCGACAGCCAATCCGAACAGCTTCACTCATTTCCTTCCTCAGTGTTGGAAACCTAACGCATAAGGCGAATGACCAAACTCGCATCATCTGGTGGCTAGAGCGTTGGTTGTAGTAAAGCCTTTCACATGCTGTGGTGGGTTCGAATCCCAACGGAGCAGCGAGTTTTTCACAGTTGGGTCAAAATGAATCTACATTTTAGGTTGATTACATCTTTGGCATCCCCAGGTAGACAACGACGTCAGATAGTGAAGGCCTGACAGCCCCATCGTTTCGTGAAGCGTTATCGGTATTCGCTGTTCATTGTTTAACTACCTCACTGGGCTATTTAAGGCTGCCTAGTTCTTCATACTGACAGACATCAATCTCGAAAGGTGTCATGTTTGGTGGACCGACCAATTTGCCGACTTCATCCATTCGTTACGCCAAAACTTGAGACTAGAAGAGCGGCATGATCAGTGTTGTTGCGATCAGTAATCCGGCGATTGGGTATAAATGCAACACTGTCATAATTGTGCAATGTGCTTCCGGTAGTCCCGTCAATAGCGTATCTGATCAGCTCGAACCATAAGGTAAATTAGCGTCAAACGATAGACCAAACATCGAGTGGATGGGAGAGATTGCTTTGGACCAGAGCATGTGTACTGTTGGGGTGATAGTAGACTCTGAAGATGATGAATTCTGATGGCATGCCATGTAGACTCTTAACCCATCACAGAGAATCGGGATTAACAGAATCGAGCTCTGCGGCAAAGTAAACAAAGGAGACGGCCGTCGGTTGTTACCCGTGATTTCGAAGATCGGAAATGTGTCACAATGTGAATATTTGATCCGAGCATCCACGCCCAAGGCGAGTCATGCAACCTTTTAAACGCCTTAGGCTAACAGCACAGGAAGCCTTCGCATCAACGTCGATTGGACTCATGCCGCGATGGTTTTCGCTACTCGCCCAATCACTGACTGGAGCCAGGACGCTGGAGTGTCAGCACACGGCTTTTGAATCTCAGTGAGAAAACCGTCCTCTCTAAAAGTCTTGTTGATGTTGTTGTTTTGCGGTCTACGTGTATGATGAAAGATGTCTTCCTGAGGGAGATTAAGGGTTTTCACTGCAAAGGCTGGAGAGGTGGAGGAAACTCTGCTCCTGAGCAGATCGGCTGATCAAAATGCTCATTTCAGAACTCGCCCCTCTGGCCGATTTGTTGACAATAAAGCTGCCATCCATGTCGCGAAAAAAGTGACCCAATACTAACTTGACGAATGGTTTGGTAGTTCAAGAGTATTGCCGACGTTTGTGACGGTGGTTAGCCTCAGGATGAATGCTAAGTGGTCTGGATTGCAGTAAGTACAGTGTCCCGATATCACGAATGTCTGATGACCTACGGAACGCAGTATCCTTGTATTCAGCTTTCTCATCAATGTTGAGAAGAGTTAATTGTTAGGCTGGTCTTGTTGAATCCAACTCGGTGAGTCATACGACATCTGCTCTCGCTATTCGTGTGTGCCAAAATATTATCTTCGCCTACTGGCAATATGTGTACACATCGAAACGAAACCTTTTGCCTCTAATTCAATCCCCACCTCCCGCCTCCCCCCACGGTCTTCTTTTGCTGACTTGGCACACGTCAGTCTACTTGGTAGTTAACACACGCCATAGGCGACTTCTAGGTAGCTTAGTCTTGATCAAATAAAAATTGCGACTTCTTCTTTGGTAATTTACCCCCTCCCACTCCTGTGCCAACCACCGCACAATCGAATTTGCTCTGTGCTGTCATCAACCAATCAGAACCTGCAGCTCGTCAGCGCGTGCATGCATGCATGTGTAACCTCTTGAGCCACCGTAAAAGACAGCCTTCGTGGCCTTCATAGCATTCCGTCTCTGCTGCTCTGGTTATTACTCCGAATGGCGCCTTCACAGGCAGAAATATTCGAAGATCAATTCCCCCTGGTTCGAAGCTGTCCTGCATTGAACGAAGTTCGGCTTGCTCAGGACATAAAGGATCTGCGAATAGAGGTAAGTTTCCTTACTGCTGACGTTTGTGTGTATGTTTGCCAGGTTGGGGGCGGGGCAGTACTCCACGCCCATCGAATAATATTAGCGGCCCGTATTCCTTCTATGCGAGCCGCCCTTAGTGGCCCCTGTGGGGAGGAGAATTCGGTTCTCAGATGGCCCACAGTGCCTCTCAAGTAACATTTGCATCGGTTCTCTGACTTTTCTTACTCTTTGCGCACTTTATAGCCTCGCAAATACATTCATTCAGTATGTCTACACGGGTCAGGTAGAGATGACACAAAGTAATGCGAGAGGCATGGTTACGCTTGCCAAAATGGTCAACCTGTCTGACCTCGTGAATTGGGGAGTTACATTCATGGTCAGAGGGTAACTATCGTCCTGGCCTTACCTACGCACACTAAAGCCTCAATTTAGAAAGTCTGCCAGCAATTTGGGACCTTGCCAGGACCCTGAATGTGGAAGTACTGGCGGAGAAGTGTATCGGCCTGATGAAGGAGCAGTTTGAGCACTTCATTCAAACTGACCTCTTTGTCAGCTTGCCCGCCGAAACTGTGTTCACTCTGCTTCGCAGCGATGATATCTCGGTGGAATCTGAGGAGCAGGTTATTGCGGCCATTTCGCGCTGGGTGGGCGCCGGTGGTGCTGCCGATGATGAGAAGCTGAGAGTGCACGCGCCGGCAATGCTAAATGAAGTGCAATGGCAGCTGACGAGTGCGCAATGTCGCAGTCGCCTGCTGGATAGTTATCCAACACTACGGAAAAGCCCCGAATGTCTGTAAGTGTCTGCAATTTCAGCCCTGTTAATTTGAGATAAAAGTTGTCTATTGCTTCAGGTGGAGCACTGGATTGGCGCTGCAGTGAAGGACAAGCCTCCTCGCCCCTTCAACATCAGGCCACGCCTAAGCCAGACGTTCTTCGTTTTTGGAAAGGATAAAGGTCAAGACAGGTACTCTGTCCTTCGCGTTGACGCGCACCTGCGGCGGGCAGAACGAATTGCTGACATGAAGGGTCCTCGTAGTCATGCCTCCTACAGTGTCGTGGGCGGTGAGTTGCCGGACAGCGCATGCCGTTTGTTTACGTGCTTGAAGTCTAATGTGTGTCTCTGTGTGCGCGCAGCATTTGCTATTGCGTAGGCATCTCGAGCTCTTGAGTTAGTCCACAGAAGCAGCTGCAGGTGCTGTTTTGAAGAAAACAAATTAATTAGGAACTTGAACAAGTAATCTTTTTGTGGCGACTGGCGCCTGTCTAGGGGTTCCTTTTTTGAAGATGGTCTATCGGCCAGTTACTCTTGTGTAAAGGCTCTCAGCTGGCCGCCTTATGCATAACCTTTTCCACTCTCCACCAGGAGAGAGCATTTTCGTTGTTGGAGGAGGATGCAACCCAGTGCGCGCTGATGTCGACGAGTTTTTGGTGAGAGAAGGACGCTGGCGCGAGCGTACGCCCCTCGCCTTTGCACGCTGGGAGCACGCAGCCGCAGTCATAAAGGTTCCCGGCACGGCCGCCGCAGCCGGAGAGAAGACGCTGATTGGTGTTTTTGGTGGATGGGGTAGAAATGAACGCATTTCCTCCTGTGAGCTCTATGACGTCAGCCAGGACAGGTAAGAAGACGCCGGTCGTCTTGGCACATCCATTTTTGCCATAAATATCACTCACTCACTGTCCCGCTTTCCCTCCGCTTGCCTCGAACAGATGGCACAAATTGCCCGATCTGCCGGAGAAGAGAAGCAGTTCAGCTGCTGCCTGCCTACCCTACGACAGTCGGGTCTTCGTTTTTGGCGGTTACGATGACTCCTCCTCCCCGCTGGCTTCCGTGGTCTTCTGCCATCTGCGGGCAGACTGGCAGGGACAGGGGACCCCAACGGAGTTTTGGCAGCCAGCTGCCCCCATGAGAATCGCACGACGGGGGCTCGCAGCGACGCCATTTCGGGGAGCAATCCTGGTCGCCGGTGGATACGATGGCCAAAGGACTCTCAATGTCGTGGAGATGTTCTCGCTGCCAGACGCCAGCATACCCCTCGGCCAGTGGACAAAGCTGGCCGGCATGAAGCAGCCTCGCTGGTACTTCACTCTCCTCACCTCCGCCAAGGCTCTCTTTGCCCTCGGTAAGGCGACACACAGATTAGATGGATCGTTTCATGCTATTTGCTGGCCTCTTTCATGTTAGCCTACTTTTCTTCTACAAAGCTGAATGATTACAGCATCTGGAATGTGACGCCAGATCCAACTGTAATCTGTGACATGACGCCGTGGAGGGTTTTCTCCTGCGCACTGCGCCATCACAGCCACAGGCAGACGGAGTCATTGTGAATACTTCCGATCCTTTCTTTTTTTAACAAACTCTTTTCTCTCTGGTGCATTTCCTCTTCAAATGCCACTTCCTTATGACTATGCAAATGAAACATTGTAGGCAACGACAGCGCGCCGAAAAACACGGTGGAGTCTCTCACGGCACCAGGAGGTTCAACCGACTTTGTCAATGAATTGACATCTTGGGTCTGGTCGTCCATGAACCCAGTGGAGACGCTGGAGTGCATTGTTGGAGCTGCAAGCATTCTGACGTAAACGCCCGCGTTAATTTTCTTTTGATATTGCCTTGGATTTCCCTCCATTGGCTGCGTATTGAAGATGAACGATTAGCAAGTAAATCTGCCTTGACAGGTGTTATTTCAAAACTCTCTAAGGATGCGTGCGGTGTCCAGCATATGGCATGGCCGAATAATGTCCACTTTTGACTTTGGGGGAATGAAATAGGGGTTTGGGGATGAGGTGAACCGGTTAATTTGCTCGAGGGAGATGCTTATTTGCTGATTGGACATAGTGAATTCCAGAGGGTGTTTCAGTAGAATTCATTCTGATCGCTGGGACGGAAGCAATTTTCGTCTGACGTGTCCAAAGCATGCAAGTTCCATGACGTAAACAGCGGAGAATGGGGACAAGAGGAGGGGTGCTGTCGATGATGATGATGATGTTGTTGTTGTTGTTGTTGTTGTTGTTGATGATGATGATGATGATGATGATGATGATGATGATGATGATGATGATGATGATGATGATGATGATGATGATGATGATGATGATGATGATGATGATGATGATGATGATGATGATGATGATGAACGAGGGCTCCACGGTCGTAGTGGTCCTGTGGTCTGCTTCACACTTATCCCTCTCTCTCTCTTCTTCGGCAGACAGTGAGACGCGGAGTGATTAAAGTCTTTTACTGCTGCTAAGACATCACAATAAAAAACCGGACATAATTCTCTCCATGTATGGAATGCCAAGAATGCCTACGAAGGAGTGTAGTTTCTGAAGCATACTGTGACGTTGCGAGTGCCGGCTTGTTTTCGGCAGTGGGAGACATGAGTCAACTGCTTTTACAGCATAATTATGTCGGACCTTGTCATCCGTTGGTGAAAAAGCATCTGAAAACTATACCGAATATACGCTCGCCCCCAAGCATCACCTCTAGCAAAACGGCATAATACAAAATTTGTGAAGTATATCACCTCTTCTATTAATCCTATTCCCCATTGGTTTCTACTATGCAAATATCCTAAATTCACACTCGGTTTTGAACTTATTCGCACACACAAGCTAAAAAATAGGCTGCAACCTGTGTCATCTATCTTATTGCCTATCTCCAAAATTTCTCGGCGGTCAGTCGGTCGCCGTTTCTGCTGAAGATCCCGAGGTTTGAGCCCTTTCTGGAGTTCTGCTCGGTAGAGATCACGAAGAGCTTCAGAGTCTCATATGTGTGAAATAAAGTGTATTTTAATAAAAACTGATGTTCGAAAATTGTTGTGGTTAGTCAATGTGTTGCAAGCCAAAAGAAGATTCCCTAGGTCGGAAATATCTACGTGAATGAGACCCGCTGCGGTGGGATGTGGTTTGGCAGTCCCACCTGAAGTAAGCAAACCCCAGTCACCTCCTATAGGGGGCCGGTGGTAAAAGGGATTTTTACAGGTGGAGCCGGGGATCGCACAGGCGACGAGAACACTAAGTTGTATGCAAAAGGAAAGCTATTGGAATTGCGTGGTTGTACGCTGAATGGTTGAGAAATAGTTGCACTAACTCCTAACCCTTACCCCAACCCCTTACTATAACTCCTTATCCTAAGCCCCAGCCGCTAACCCTAACCTTTAACCCTAACCCCTAACCATCATCCCTAAGCATAACCCCTAACCATCACCCCTAAGCCTAACCCCTAACCCCGACCCCAACAGTATTTTGGCCACCACGTGGGCCTAACAAACCACATCTTGCATCCGCTGCTGCTGCATACACCACCAATGAGTGCCTGGATGACAGGCCATTATCGGAAGTACACCTGGAGCTGCTGGGCCCCGGACCGTGAGACGCTTGCACACCAGGCCAGATAAAATCGATCGCGCTCAATACGTACCCTTATATCGATCGCAGTACATGCACGTGGTTTCTGCCAGATGGACGAGGGCTGAACGCGAGGAGAGGCGCGCTTTGATAACCTTGGGAATGTCGGCAAACTGAGCCGATTGCCGTGGCGTGCGCAATCGATGTGTGCGCGTCATTACACAACAACAACAACGTTGTTACAATCCAGCGTGCATATTTCATAACAATTCGCCATATCTCACCCTGTGCTAATGAGATTATTGCTAAATATGCTATCAGCGCAGAGCACTTATTTTGTGCGCAAATGATTCTGCGATTTTTCACACCATTATTTTATTTCGTGGGTTCTTTAAGCAGCATCAATATTTTGAGTGTTGTGAGTATTGAGTATTATTGTATTGAGTAATATTGTCCCTCCGTCATAATTCCCACTAGTCAGCAGTGGGGATTCGGACCACCACCATCACCACGTCCCTCACAGCCACCAGCAACACCAACACCACCACCGTCAATACCAACACCACCACCACATTCACTACCAAAACCACCACCACCACCACCACCACCACCACCACCACCACCACCACCAACACCACCACCACCACCATCATCATCACCACAGTCACCATCACCACAATTACCACCAACACCGGAAAGAACCCCACAACCTACTCCACCACCATCACCTGCAATAACAAAACCACGATCACTACCACCACAACCGCCAACACCACAACTACCGCCAACACCACCAAAAGCAAAACCAACTCCACCAACAACACTACCACAACCATCAACTCATCCACCTCACCCCTACAACAAACAGCATAACCACGACCAACACAACCAAACACACTACCACCATCACCACCGTAACACTAACCACCGGCACCACAAACAACAGCATCACCACCGACGGCACAACCACCACGGACAACACCGCCGCAACAAACCCCACTGCCGTTATTCGCCCACCTTCCCCCTTCCTTTTCCGCATTTTCTTACCCTCTTCTTTCTTCCTCCAACTCCTCTAGCTCGTATTCCTCATCATCTCACACCGTTGCTTCCTTATCTACCCCACAGCCCTAACCGTACTCTGCTTCCCAATTCTCGTCTACTTACGCATCCTTCTCCTCCTCCCCCCTCATCCTCCCGTTCCCGTCCTCTCACTCATCATTCCGTTTTTTTGATTCCACCTCTGACTGCGTTTTTCCTCTCCCCATCGTCCTGCTTCTCTAATGTCTCTTCTACCGCCTCCTCTTCCTCTTTCATATAGTTCCCCTCAGCTTGCTACTCCCTCGGCTGCTTCCTCAACATTCGTCTTTTTTATTTCCTTCCCATCATCGAAACTAATCTCCACCTCCTCCTCATCCTCCTCTTCCCCCTCCAAGCCACAATCACCATCGTCATCGTCATCATCATCGCTCATCGTCATTATTCGACACTCGCATCATCCCCTACGTCCTCCACCTGCTCCTACGCGTACAGCTCGATGCTCTCGCCAGCATGACTTATGAGGATTTGAATAAAATGAAATTCTTTATCCTAAATGCTCAGTCCAGTCCAGTACCTACTTATCCGTAATTGTTCTTGTGCACTTATGCGCCTTATTCGCTCTTCTATTCGTCACACGTCTTTCACTTATTCTTCAGACAATGCTCCTGCGACAGCCTTCTGCGCCAGAGACTGGCTGAGTCATAACTTCTGCGAATTCTGCATTCACAAGAGCAACCAAGCACTGGGACCCAGCCAGTTCGTCTCTCTGCCTTTACCACAGGTGAAAGTGAGGGGCGTTCTCAGCAGATCGTTACTCCCACACAGTTCTGATTGACTGGCGCGTTCCAGTGGTGGGCCCCGCACGCAACGCCTTTGCTACGATATCTCATCAACCCCAATCCTCGTGACGATTTGGTCCTGGCATTATGGTACTTGCGCATTTTTACTATCTTAGCCGTTATTATTTGCCGCGGCACACTTATTCTGGTGATCTGAACGCGATCTTCAACCGCATCTCGAAAAAGATCTACTACCATTCCTCAGATAAGATTTAGATGCAGTTACTGGTGGTAATTTTGTCTCGGATGTCATACTAGCAAGGATACGCGGACATGTACAGCCTGTGACCGATCTCATGACACATTATTCGAAACTCTGGAATGCGTGTTCAGTTGGGAAGGATTACTTTAGTGCGGTTTTTGCGTTGATTATCTTCCAGCATAATCCAAAGATTTTGCAGACACCATCCACGTTATTTTTTTGGTTTGCGCAAATCGCTCAGTAATTTCTCGCTCAGATGAGTCCGAGTCGTGACCGTTCGGATTTTTATCGATTTGAGTACTTTCATATACCTCTTTTTTAACTATTTACTGTGGAAGTTCAATGATTTGAGAGGCAGGGACATGGACTGTTCTACCAAAACTATCCTACTGTTTTGCACCGTAAGCACTGCAAATGAAGGTATCTTGATTTTCTGTGGGGTTGCATTTTCAAGGCTGGTATGTTGCAATGGAATCCCAGATTAATTTCTTTGAGTTAACACAGCATGCTAAATAGAAATTGTGACTGTTTGAGAGAATTAATCCGAGCTATTTTTGTAGGTCGGGTCGAGTTTCAGAACGTGGCCCGGTTCTGACAGAATATTTCTGAGGAAATATTCACAATAATCATTGCCGACTGTTCAAACCAACTCCAGAGAATTTTTTCTAATGGAAATGGTAACGATCCGGAGACTGTGTATACAGCCCAAAATAGTTTATGTAATGAAAGCGGAACTCACACTTCTGTAGGAAATATAGGCGCCATTCCGACGTCTTCGTCTCTTCCTACTTTCCTCTGCCAACTGTCCGAACACATTTCAGGGAGTTTTTGCAAATGAAATGCTAACGAGTCCGGAGACTGTCTATACAGCTCAAAATAATGTCTACAACTGAAAAGGAACTCCCGCTTCGGTACAGAAAATAGGCATCATTCCAGCGTCTTCACTTCCTCGTACTTTCTCTGACCATGTTTTTCCCCCGCCCCATCCGCCTGCTTCCCTGATGTCTCATCCTTCTCTTCCCCTCAACTTGGTACTTCCTCAGCTGCTTCTTCAACATTCGTCTTTTTATCTCCTCAGAACGTGGTATCTTCCTTACAGAATATTTATGTAATTGTGTAGCCCAGACACATTTGACACAGCCAAATACACGAACTGGACTCTAAATGAACAAAAATTTACTTATTGAAAATTCGTCCCGAAATTGAAGGCTATGTTAAGCCGTCCATTTCAGACACCACTAATGCGTTTCGAAGGTGAGCAAACGCACGTAGTCTCTAAAATTTATTAAGCAATTTCTCCCTCTAATGACATTATTTGCACTCCCAAACATTCCCAAAAGGAATCCTATACTACTGAATGCGATTTTATGTTCACGGCCTCCATTGTGTTGACGCCCATAAACCAGCTTTTAATATATCGCATGATATCCTATCATGCAATTTGGATATCTGTTAAATTTAGACCACATGCTCCCTCGTTTATATATGATGCAGCGTTGTTCTGTGTTCGCGTCTCGATGGTGGTTCTATCAATTTAGTTGGATTATAGTTGGTGCAGCAATGCAAAGTGAGTTCCCGATATAATTATGCCGGAAATGGACGCCGCAGTGTCGTCAGCTATCGATTGAACGGTGCTTTAGTCAAATGTGGAGAAGGGAATGGGTTGGTGGCAGGTTAGAAAGAGGGAAAAATAGTCAGTTGACCAGATTACTCATAAATATTATACAAGGCCTCAATTCATACTAAATGTATACGAGTAATGAAAGCCAATTGTTTTATTCTTAATTGGACTTACAACAGCGGTCAGAAGAGGCTATGTACTATCTTCTATGAGCACCTATACCATGCACTTAGTTAGTTTTAATCAGGAAAATTATTATCTCCTGGCGTGTATGGACTTCTCAGTCGAGTCGACACACTTTTAATCTTGTGTGGAAAGTAATGCATGAATCAGGTAAACCGAAATCCATTGACTTTATCCATTCGCAGTGGTGTTTTGATGTTTATCGAAAGGGCGATAAAGACAATCGATTTGAGGGTTGTTACACTCCCGATTTCGGCTGTCTTCATTTCAATATATTTGAATCCTATCCCTATTCCCACCCTTCTTCACGGTTTTTCGTCTTAAATTAGATGTCGCGAGTTTGCAATTAGACCCCGAATACGATCTGCGTTTCATTTTTCCTGTCAACTGTTTAACCGCAGCATTAGGATCGGTTGGCCTGCGGTTTCTCGAGTTGATTGCAACTGACAAACCCCCAAGATCGGAATACTGCTGCATTTAGTGTATCGATCGTTGGTGATGTGCATAGTAAATTAAGCGGCAGTACTCACTTACTTGAACTTGATGCAGCCATAACCGTGGCTCCCTCCAGAGTTGCCGGCATGAGACAGCCCATCCGACACATACCCTTCCACAGTGTTGGAAACCTAACTCGTATGACGAATGAATAGAATCGCATCGTCTGGCGGCTAGAGCGTTGGCTGAACTAAGGCCTTTCCCTTGCTGTAGTGGGTTTGAATTCCACCGGAGCAGCGAGGTTTTCACAGTTGGGTCAAAATGAATCTAGGCTTTTAGGTTGATCTCCTCTTTGGCATCTCCAGGTAGACAACGACGTCGGATTCTGAAGACCTGAAAACCCCATCGTTTCGTGAAGCGGCGTCGGCATTTGCTGTTTATCGTGTAACTACCTCACTGGGCTATTTAAAGCTGCCTAATTATTTATAGTGGCAGTCATCAATCCCGAGAGGTGTCTAGTTCTGGAGGACCGACCAATTTAACGAATTTATCCATCCGTTACGCCAAAGTTTGAGACTGGAAGAGCGACATGGTCAGTGTTGTTGTGATCAGTAATCCGGCCATTGGGTGTAAATGCAACACTGTCATAACTGTGCAATGTCCTTCCGGTAGTCTCATCAATAGCGTAGTTGATCAGCGAGAACCATGAGATATAGCGTCGTCAAACAGTAGGTAAATTCGCATCTTAAGCCTTGTCGCAACGACACATGTGACTTTTGGGAGAGGCAGTGTGACGATTGTCCCCGGGGACATTGGAATCTTGCAGTACTGGCATCACTGGCTGACTTACGCATCTGTGTCTGAAGCTCAGTTTTCTAACTTGTCTGTCTCTTCGGTTCACACACCAACGCAGCGCGGTCATCGCGGTAAAGGAGTCTACTGAAATCCCAACGGTTGTCCTTTTCTGTGCTTTTAAAGTGTATGAATTTGAGGAGAGTCACGAAAAGGAGATGGAGCTGGAGAAGAAGGAGGGATATAGAGGCAGGTTTCCTTACTACTGACGTTTGTGTGTATGTTTGCCGGGTTAAGGGCTGGGCAATGCTCCACGCCGATCGAATAATTCTAGCGGACCGTATACTTTCATTGCCATTGCAATTTTCTGTGGAGAGGGACGAGGACGAGACGGAGACCTAGCAGAAGAGGAAGATAATGTTGATGATGAAAATGGGAAGAATAAGACGAAGAAGAAGAAGAAGAAGATGAAGAAGAAGAAGAGGCAGAAGATGGAGGAGGAAGACGACGAAGAAGAAGAAGAAGAAGAAGAAGAAAAGGAAGAAGAAGAAGAAGACGAAGAAGAAGGAGAGGAAGAAGAATGGGGAGTAGGGGGAGAAGGAGGAGGATTAGGAGGAGGAGGAGGAGGAGGAGGAGGAGGAGGACGAGGAGGACGAGGACGAGGATGATGAGGAGGAGGAGGAGGAGGAGGAGGAGGAGGAGGAGGAGGCAGCAGGAGGAGAAGAAGAAGAAAAAGAAGAGGAAGATTGTGATGATTATGGTGATTTGAGGGTCGATTGTTAGCCTCAGGGTGAAGGCTGAGTGATCTGGATTACAGTAAGTATATTGTCCCGATATCACGAATGTCTGATGACCTACTGAAGACAGTATCATTGTAGCCAGCTTTCGCATTAATTTTGCGCCGCTAATCATTTGTGCGAAAATATGATCTTCGCCAACTGGCGTTGTGTGCACATCGAACCGAAACCTTCCGCCTATAATTCAGTTACCACCTGCCCCCCTCCACACCCTTCCCTATGGTTTTCTCGCTGATGACTGAGCACACGTCAGTCTACTTGGCAGTTAACTCACGCCATCGGTGACTTCTAGGCAGCTTTGCCTTCACCGAATAAAAACTTACTGTCATCCGCCAATCAGAACCTGCAGGTCGTCAGTGCGCGCGTGCGTGCGTGTGTAACCTCTCGAGCCACAGTAAAAGACAGCCTTCGTGGCCCTCGTAGCATTCCGGCTCTGCTGCTCTGGTTATTACTCCGAATGGCGCTTCCACAGACAGAAATATTTGAGGACCAATTTCCCCTGATTCGAAGCTGTCCTGCATTGAACGAAATTCGTCTTGCTCAGGACATAAAGGATCTGCGAATAGAGGTAAGTTTCCTTACTGCGGACATTTGTGTGTATGTTTGCCAGGTTAAGGGCGGGGCAGTGCTTCACGCCCATCGAATAATATTAGCGGCCCGTGTTCCTTCTTTGCGAGCCGCTCTCAGTGGTCCCTGCGGGGAGGAGAATTCGATTCTCAGATGGCCCACAGTGCCTCTCAAGTAAAATTTCCATCGGTTCTCTGATTATGCTTACTCGTTGCTCACTTTATAGCCTGGCAACTACATTCATTCAGTATGTCTACACGGGTCAGGTGGAGATGACACAAAGTAATGCGAGAGGCATGGTAACGCTTGCCAAAATGGTCAAACTGCCTGTCCTCGTGAATTGGGGAGTTACATTCATGGTCAAAAGGTAACTATCGTTCCGGTCTTACCTACGCACACTAAAGCCTCAATTTAGAAAGTCTGCCGGCAGCTTGGGACCTTGCCAGGACCCTGAATGTGGAAGTACTGGCGGAGAAGTGTATCGGCCTGATGAAGGAGCAGTTTGAGCACTTCGTTCAGACTGACCTGTTTGTCAGCTTACCCGCTGAAACTGTGTTCCTTCTGCTTCGCAGCGATGATATCTCGGTGGAATCTGAGGAACAGGTAATTGGGGCCATTGCGCGCTGGGTGGACGCCGGTGGTGCTGCCGATGATGAGAAGCTGAGAGTGCACGCTCCGGAAATGCTGAAGGAGGTGCAATGGCAGCTGACGAGCGTGCAATATCGCAGTCGCCTGCTGGATAGTTATCCAACACTGCGGAAATGCCCCGAATGTCTGTAAGTGTATGCCATTTCAGCCCTGTTAATTTGAGATGAAAGTTGTCTTATGCTTCATGTGGAGCAGTGGATTGGAGCTGCAGAGAAGGACAAGCCCCCTCGACCCTTCAACATCAGGCGACGTGTACGCCAGAAGTTATTCCGATTTGGAGATGACAAGGAACCAGTCATCGCTGCTGAATACCGCCGTTATAGGCATGTGTCTCTGTTTCGACCACGTGCACCACCATCACCACCACCACCACCATCACCACCACAACCACCATCACCACCACCACCACCTCTGTCCTCTTTCGAGAGGACAAAGAACCTGTCATCCCTGTCATTTTTTTGGAACCCGGAAAACTGAATTCACTGGATCATTATAGACTTATGCTGCATCATAATAAGTTTAACAACACTACTCAATTTATCTTTTCGAAACGAGAACGAATTTCGAAATTTTGGTTGACATTTCATGATTAAGCACATCTTATGTACGGTGACTTTTTATTAGTAATGGAAGCTGGATTGTGAACAGGTTTTTATTGTTCATCCATGTATGCGCGCGTAATTGAACAATAACAACCTGGTAACAATCCAGCTTCCATTATTAATAAACATTTACGTATCTCACCTGGGCTGATGAGATGTTTGCTAAATATGCTATCACTGCAGTGCACATATTTTGTACGCAAATGATTCTGTAGATTTGCGCACCATTATTTTATATCGTGGTTCTTTATGCAGTATCACTATTTTGAGTATTGTAAAGCTAGGATTCTACCTTATTACAATGAGCGTAATAATTCTGAGGAAAATATATCTAGGGGAAAAGAATAGACGGAGGAGAGGGTGGAAGGATATAGGAGGAGGTATTGAGTAAGCTTGAGCAACGTAATGATATTATTTCCTGCCAGGTGAACTGTTTAAGAAAGCAGAGATCTCGACTTGAAGAGATCAGAAACAGAAGCGTTTAGTTCCGAGTATTCTATGCAATTTGTTTAAATAATTCTAACACATTTAATTCTGTTTGCTCATCCGTTAAACCCATTATTTAACACTAAAGCGAAGAGGTTGACATGCGGACTTCTCTTTCAGAGAGCACTCCCATTGGAAATTGTGCCTTTTTTCGTCTTCAAGTTGACCGCTGTGTTTGCCCATCTTCAGCATCACAACCCATGGTTCTGCATAACCAGGTTTCCTTAGATCGATCTAACACTACCAACATTAATCCAACTTACAAAAATTAATCGCAGTTAGGCTCTCAAGCAGTCCGCATTTCCACCACGCATGATATAGTTCCTTAGTCAGATTATTCTGAGGTCGCATTAACACAGCTGACACTTTTTACGTTTCCAGTCATAATTATTAAAGTACTGGAATCAACATTTTATCACCATTATTCCAATTAGTCAGCAATGGGGATTCGGACACAAACCACCACCATCACCGCAAACATCACCAACACCACCACCACCACCACC